AAAAATAAAACGTGTCCAAATCAGGAAGAAGCAAAATTATTTCTGTTTGAAGATATTAGATCTTATATATAGAAAATCTTAAAGACTCAACAAAAAACTGTTAGAATTAGTCAACTAATTCAATAAATTTGCAGGATACCAAATCAACATATAGAAATTTTTTGAATCTCTATACCCTAAAACAAAACATCTTAAAAATAAAGAAAACAATGTTATTGACAATATTTAAAAATAAAATAATTAAATGTTTAACCAAGAAAGTTAAAGATCTATACACTGAAAATGACAAGACTTGGATGAAAGAAAATGAAAAAGACACAAATAAATGGAAAGATATGCCAAGTTCATTGATCAGAAGAATATTCTTAAAATGCCCATGCTACCAAAAGCCATCTACAGATTAAATGCAATCCTGATCAAAATTACACTAGCATTTTTCACAGAAATAGAAAATATAATTTTATAATTTGTATGGAACCACATAAGACTACCAATAGCCAAAGCATTCCTGAGAAAAAAGAATAATGCTGGAGACATCACACTTCCTAATTGCAAACTATACTACAAAGTTATAGTAATCAAAACATTATGATACTAGAATAAAAACAAAATAGACCAATGGAACAGAATCAAGAACCCAGAAATAAACCCATGCATATATGGTCAACCAATCATTTACAAGGGCACCAAGAACACAGTATGGGGAAAGGATCATCTCTTCAATAAATCGTTCCGGGAAAACTGGATATGCACATGCAAAGGAATAAAAGTGGAACCTTATCTTACACAACTCACAAATATTAACTTGAAATACATTAAAGACAAACATAAGAACTGAAACTTTTCAACTTCTAGAAGAAAATATAGGGAAAGAGCTCTTTGATATTCTATTGACTGATTTTTTGGATATGACACCAAAAATACAGGCAACAAAAGCAAAAATAAACAAGTGGGACTACATAAAACTTAGCTTCTGCACAGCAAAAGAACAATCAATAAAATGAAATGGCAACATGTGGAATGGGAGAAAATAGTTGCAAACCAATTATCTGATAAGGGGTTAATATCCAAAATATATGAGGAACTCATAGAACTCAATAGCCAAAAAAAAAAAAAAATCTGAGGAACTAAATATACATTTTTCAAAAAAGACATATAGATAGCCAACAGGCACATGAAAAGATGCTCAACATCCCTAATCATCAGGGAAATCCATATCAAAAACAAGAATGAGATATCTCCTCACACCTGTTAGAATGGCTCTTACCAAAAAGAAGAGATAAATGTTGGTAAGGCTGTGGAGAAAAGGGAACACTTGCGCTTTCTTGGTGCAAATATAAATTAGTATATCCACTATGGACAACAAGGTGGAGGTTCTTTACAAGTTAAAAATAGAACTACCATATGATACAGCAATCCCACTTCTGGGTATATATCCAACTGAAATGAAAGTACTTTATTGAAGAGATGTGAGATATTTATAAATATATATATGTATAATATATATACAATTCAACCATGAGAAAGAAGAAAACCCTGTCATTTATGACAACATGGATGGACCTTGAGGGCATTATGATAAGTGAAATATGTCAGACAGAGAAAGACAAATACTGTACGATCTCACTTATATGTAGATTCTAAAGAAGCTGAACTCATAGAAACATAATAGAATGGCAATTTCCTGGGGCTGGGGGGTGGAGGAAATGCGGAGGTGTCATTCAAAGGTTTCATTCAATGACAAAGATGTCATTCCAGTTGCAAGATTAATAACTTTTGGGCGTCTAATGTACAGTGTGGTGACTATAATTAACAATACAGTATTACACACTTGAAAGTTGGTAAGAGAGTACATCTCAAATGTTCTCAACACAAAAAAGAAATGGTAATTATGTCGTGATGGAGGTGTTAACTAACCTTATAGTGGTAACCATTTTACAATATATATGTGCATCAAATTTTCACGTTGTACACATTAAACTTACACAACGTTATGTGTCAATTATAGTTCAAGAAAGCTGGGGCAAAAAAAGAAAAAACTGAGGATACAGAAAAGGAGTTAATTATAGGGGCTATAGCCTTAGTAGTGAAGAAAATTTAATGCCCAGTGTTGTGAGTTGAATTGTGTCCCCCATAAAGTTATATTCAAGTCCTACTATCTGGTAACTGTGAACTTACCCTTATTTGGAAATAGGGTCTTGGTAGAGGTAATCAAGTTAAGACGAGGTCATACTGGAATAGGGTGGGCCCTAATACAATGACTGGTGTCCTTATAGGAAGAGAGAAATTTGGACACAGATACACACAGACAAGGAGAATGTGCCATGTAATGATAGAGGCAGAGATTGGAGTCATGCATCTACAACCTAAGGAATGACAATGATTGCCAGCAACTGCCATAGCTAGAAGAGAAGCATGGAATAGATTCTCCCTCAGAGCCTCCAGAAGGAGCCAAGTCTGCTGCCACTTTCATTTTGGACTTCTAGCTTCCAGAAGTGTGAAACAATAAACTTTTGATGTTTTAAACCACCTGGTTTGTGGTAATTTGTTTTGGGAGCCCTAGGAAACTAATACAGCCTAAATTATACTTTGGTATGAGCAAGAAGAGGGCATCCACTCTAATAGGAGGGAAAGCAGAGAATAGGGTTGTAAACATGCATGTAGACTAGAATATTCAGTTTTGATAACGGTGAAATTTTCCCCTATTTGTCTCTATTAGCTGAGAGTAGAGTGGAGAGAAGGTATAGTAGATTTGGGAAGAGATGAAAAGGTGAGAAATATTCATCTTCAAGGGTAGGAGAGCTTTGAACAGACAAGGGAAGTTTAATAACATTTCCAGTTAACATTAATGGCCCACTTGCACTTTGTCATCATAAATTTAAATTGAAGCCAATTATCATGGTTACATGTTTTTCCTCAACCACATTCAGCTTATGAAGGTACCACTGTGGAGTAATGGGAGAATTGAATTTGTCTAAAATTAGGGTTTTGTTAGTAGAGATGTCAAAAAGTAAGTGGAGAAAGGGAGTTGAGGATGTATGCAGGGAAGTATTTGTGCTGACTCACCATGAGCCTGTAAGAATCTAAGATAGGTAAGGACCTATAATGGGTAAGAACATAAGTAAAACCACAGTGCTGGGAGACACTGATGAGAGATAGTTAAAAGGTAGTAAAATCAATGGTAGGTCTTAGGTGGGTGGAAGAATTGTTGAAGTGGGGGTACTAGAGGTACTTGAGGTAGTGGTTAGAGAGTGAATGTTTGGAATTGAGATTTTGGAAAGATATATATGGGAGTAAGTCACTGAAATAAGATGAAAGACAAGATAATTGGAGAAGATAAAGTCAAAGAATTGAGATGTTAAGGTATGAGAATGATTATCTACATAGCAAAATCACCAGGAATTAAGACAAGAGGACCATTAGAGGGAATAACAGTGGGTCAGAGAGAAGATCATGACAAAATAAAGGGGGTGAAATGGAAGTCAGTAGATGAATATAGCAAAGAAAGGTAGCAGGTGATATAATCTATACAATTTGATGACTTGAGATTCAAAGCTGGCTATTTTTAGGGAGTAGAGACTTGGAAATGCCATTGAGGAACCAAGCAGACACCGCTTCACCTTTGAGTCCAGGGGTACGAGGGGATGTGTAAAGGAAAACATCCCCTACTGGCGAGGGCCTCAGGAAAAGCAATGTATTTGAGAGAGAGTTAGGTTTCAGATAGAGCAAGAATGTAGCGGTATCATTCAGATAAGAGGCAGAGGAGGATATAGAGGGGTTTGCTGATGACAGTGTGTTTCAAAGAGATAATGCCCAATGGTGATATAATCCTGAAGCCTTTGTGATGTAAGAGGGAAGATCAGGTGTAGGCAGCATCAAACTACAAGTATCTTTATAAAAGCACTAGGGAGCTCAATTTTAATTTCTAGATCAAATCATTCTTTTTTTTTCAAACTATATTGAATTTTCTGATTCTAAAAGTAATATATACTCATTGAAAAAATCCAAACAATACAGAAATGTATCATTTAAAAGGGAAAATCCTTGTAATATTTTAGGATTTGAATTTCTGAGTCCAAGATTTTCTAATTTTCTTTTCATTGTTGAGGTTGTGCACCTTTCCGTATGTTTACTGGTCATCCACGTTTCTTTATCTGTAAATTATCTGTTCATATTCTCCAGCTATTTTTATGCCACCTTAATTGTGTCTTTCTTATTGATTTTTACCAGCTTTTTATAATAGATTGTACCCTAAGAAATTTCCATTTTTGTAGGTCAAAAATGGTTCAGTATTGACAATCTCATATGGTTCAACTTAATACACATGAATATTAGCTGCTAGTTCCAAGCCAATATGGGCTATATTATTCTAATTTTTATATTACTTTCAGTAATACTCTTTTAAAGGAGATTAACTTTTAAAACAAAGACCAACATTGAAAGATGCAGCCACTAAAGCCTGCAGAAATACTGTTTAATTCCACATGAATAATATTTTACAATCCACTTAATGACTATTTTAAAAAATCAACTCACTATACTTTTCTTTACTGGAAATAATACTAAGTCTTCTTTTTCATCAGAACAATGGAGTGGTTTAATTTTCCTTACACATTAAATTAAGTATACGAAAGTAGTATGATAAAGTCTTACTAGGTTGTATCCTGCTTTATGTTTTAAAGTGCCTTCACACACATTAATTATTTCCCTTCTCCCTAAAATAATATGTGGTTCTAAGTACACATACACACACGCTCAGAGAGATAAAATGGTCAAGGCCATTCAGCTCTTTTGTGAAAGAGCCCAAACTAGCTAAATCTCAAAGTAAAGCACTCAAGGTATTGACGGGAATTTCATACCTCTGTTTAAAATACAAATTTTAATCTACAAATAAAATTACCATGAGAGAAACATTATTTACATTTAAAAACATAAATATGTAGCTAAATTGAGCATGTTAGTCATTAAAAACACTAAAATGTATTAAAATGAGGACTTACAATCTTGGAAGAGACATTTCCCCTGCCTATATGTTGCCAGGACTTGAGCACTGTAAGTTCAAACTGGTAATGTTGAGTGATGACATCATAAAGAGACTGTGAACAACAGGAAGTTAAAAGGAAAAGACAGAGTAACTATATTTTACAGGGTATACATGCTTCTGAAATCTATTCTAAAGTTGTAGCTGTGTTCATACACAATGTTTTAAAGCTTGAACTGAATCAGTTTTTCATTTATTGAATCTATCTGGTTGTTTAATAAACATCTAATTGATATCAGCCTATTTTAACACTAGTTTTGAGCATACATGTGCGCACACAGACATATATACATGTGTGTGTGTGTGTGTGTGTGAAAAAGATATGGGCTGAAAGGAAAATAGAAGAATATAAACATTTCTACATAAAGAGCAGCTGTAATCTTGTACATTTTGTTCACATTTAGGCTTTTTTCTCTAAAAAGTATGTTCACAGTGATTTTTCGTCAAAATGACTTGAATATAGTTTATTCTTAGATATGTAAATTAAACAAAAGTAAAATGTGTATTGAAGTAGTACTGACAAGTCTAAAAAATGTTTATTTTCTCTCCTCAAACCTGAAAACAACAGTTGTTATGTACAGAGTCATGTTAGAACTAGTTATCAAATTCTACTTCGTGGGAAATTTGCCAATGTGAACTTTTTGTTAGATGAAATGGAAACTCATACTGTAGGTAAGGATGTGTACAGGGATAATTGTCTTTTATTTATTCCAGATAACAGAAAGTGAACATCTTTTTGGTCCCAGGAGGAGAAGCAATTCATTGGTTACTCCCATTACTTTTTTACCACATTTTTTGTCATTGAATTTTTCCTTAGTTTTGAAAGTTTATATTTCTTATGTAATACTGATCCTATTTTATTATAGAAAATGGAAGGAAAATGTGATCCAAGACACCAAGTTTGTTTCCACTTGAGCAGTGTTATGTAGTATGATACCTCAGAACCCTTCCATTGGCCAACCTACGTTTACAAACCTGTCAAATAGTATTGCCATCTGAAGGGAAGTAATGCAAAACCATTGAATTTTTAAGTCAAAAATGGACCACAATCATATAAAGTAGCAAAAGGAATACCAACTATGTGTAAAGAGCCTTGAAAAACATTCCTACCCTAAGGTCCAGTAACTTCACTCTTAGGAATGCATCCTAAGTAACATTATTTTAGCATAAAAACTTTAATTACAGTTTTGCATAAAATATTAAAATTTGAAAACACTCTAAATGCCCAAGAGTAGGGAATGGTTTTAGTAAATCACTAGATTAAAACTCCACAAAGGCAGCAATCATGTCTGTTTTGCTTATCACTGTATCCCCAGCATTTGCATGGAAAAAGCCAGGAACATAAAAGTGTATCTACAATTTTATATCTACTATATGAAGCAAATATACTTATTGTGAAAAGAAAGTGAATACACCAAAATGCTAAGAGTGGGTTTGTGGATAATTTTATTTTCTGCTTATGATGTTTTACATTTAAAAATGCCTAAAAAATATGCATATATTTTTTGCTAAAAAGTAATATTAAAAATATATATAAAACATTGCAAGTGCAAATAGAAATAACAATTAGAACATTCATATTCTTGATTTATTGGTGGTTATAAGAAAATAAGCATTACTTTTAAAAAACTATTGAGGTAAAGCCAAATAAAAAAATAATCTTGACAAGTGACTACTTTGATTTTTTTAACTTACCTGTTAAATCAATTGAAATAGTCAAATTGATATAAATATAAATATAGCTTTAATGGACAAAAAATTACTGTCAAAATTTCCAAGGGTTAGTTAAGGAATATTAACTAAGTAATATCTATGAACATATAAAACTGTAAATGGCTTATTCTAACTCCTGCGTAGAGTATGCTCAAACTTTTGATTTTTCATTTGTACATATTGATTTGAGGTTTGAATCATAGGGAAGAAAATGAGTGAGAACAGAAAGCAGAGAAGGACCTTGTAGTAGGTGCTAGGAAAGATCTGGGGCTCAAGCTGAGCACATGTCCTGTACAGCCCCATCACCAAGGCGATACCAAGGCACAACTGAGGTTGGCTGTCTCCTCCTCCCTTTCTTTTTTGTGACATCTGTTCCCTTTTTTTTCACCTCAAAACTTTCTCAGATTTGTTTTAATGAGATTTTACCTGGATATAAAGCAGGGAAGAGTAAAAGGATATACACATTTATAAAGAGTTTTGACCTGAACCCTGGGCTTCTCCAAGGATGACCTAGATCTTTGAAGAAGAAAAAAACCCACATTTTCTCTTTTCAGTCACCAATTTTAGTCTTTAACAACATTCGCAGGCAGACTCACAAAGATCACAGCTTCAATTGAACCCAAAGCTCCCATTCAACCTTCTCCCCTACCCTGGCCCTCCTTGTCACCCTATCTCATTTAATTTTTTCCCCATAGCACTTATTACCTTCTATATAAGTTATTTGTTTATTATTTATCTCCCATTCTGTAATATAAGATCCATGAGGGCAGGGATTTTTGTCTGTTTTATTTACTGATGTGTCCCCAGTGCCTAGAACAAGGCTTGGCAAATAGATGGTACTCAGAAATATTTTTGAATGAATAAATAAATGCTATAATTTAAACTACTATTATGTAAGGAAATGTTGGCTATCTCAGGTGTTTTCTTTCACTTAGAAAGCATGATTAATGTCTGTAGCTACTGAAAAACCGAGATTGAAATTTTTGATGTTCTGCCACCTACTAGTTATAGGACTAAGTTGGCCATTAATTTTGAGGCAGAATTTATGACTATGTTGCATTTTCATTTTGCACTCGTCCCCTGCAGGTCTTGGTGGTGAGGATGGAAGTGTTTTGAACGGATTTTCTTGGGAGTAAAATCATATTAAATTGGTATTCAGGAAACCAATGTTCAAATACTGTCCTTGTCACTAATTGAATGGCCCTGCACAAATCAATTAGATTTTCCTTAGTGTCTTAATCTGTGACAGGGATGGACCAGATAACTGGTTTACCTCGGGTGATGTAGACTGTTAAGGATTTAGGATGGTAGTACTAGAATGATCCAGAGCTATATTCCACATTTCAAAAACTGAAATAAATTGCATTCTGTGTTGATATATTCTGTGTAAAGTAAAGAAATCTGGATGCTTTTGAATATAATATATTGACCCAGCAAGGTAACACTACTATTTCATATGGATAAGACATTCTAATTAGCAATCATATGTAATGAGAATAATTGTTGATACCACAACTTTATGGAAGTCAGAGCTTAAGGTAAAAAATAAAATCTGAAATGGCCCTTGCACTCCTATTCCCACCATTACCCAGGAAGCTCCAGTATGTTAAAAGGAATATGATGTATCTTCATCTAGTTAGAATAGTGATTCTCACCTCTTATACCCTAGCCATTCATTAAGTATGCTCTCAAAATTTGATCAATAGATAATATAAGTGATCGTTACAGGTGAAGATGCACACTTCAAGGCTTGTCAAAAGGAACCTTGAGGTGAGTGAGTCATCTGATATTGAGTGGGATAAAACTTGCAGCAAATTAAAAGGGGCAAAGTGGGATGTCAAACTTGACCCAACAATCTTATGTTTCTTGAAACATGCAAGGCAGACCTTACAGGAAGTAGGGGCTATTTTTGGTTGTTTTTTTCTGTTTGTTTGTTTTTATTGTTGTTCATAATGTAATCTCTCACACTTAGCAGAGTGCTGCTTCAGAGTAGGTGCTCAACAAATATTTGTTGAATGCATAAATACATAAAAGAGTATATAATTAGGAAAGAGTTGTACCTAGGTAGAGATAAAGGGCTGACAGGCAACAACTTAAATAGTACAAAAATGGATGTTTTTATAGATTCTGGGTGACATTTAATACTAAGTAGTTATTGTGTTACAATTATTGTGCTCTTGTATAGTTTTAGTTAGAATCTTTCATTTGAAATGTGTGCTCAGAAATTCTTGTTTTCTTCTTTTTTTAATTTTTTTGTTTATTGCAGTAACATTGGTTTATAACATTCTATAAATTTCAGGAGTACATCATTATACTTCTATTTCTGCGTAGATTACATCATGTTCACCACCCAAATACTAATTACAACCCATCACCACACACATGTGCCAAATTATCCCTTTCGCCCTCCTCCCTCCCCACTTCCCCTCTGGTAAGCACCAATCCAATCTCTGTCTCTATGTGTTTGTTTATTGTTGTTAT